TAAGTACTTCACACTCTACAGTGCTTTATAGAATTTTCAGGTTTGATCAACTAGATGGCAGCTGACAAGAGAAGTAAAATAGAAAAAGTTAATAACTGTATCTATTTTGTTATTTTTAATTTGTTACTTTGCATGCAATTTTTTTGATAAAAGAAATGAAGACAACATGTATTACTCAATACTTATCTTCCTTTATTGAATCATTAATTTTTAGCAAAACACTTTATTAGAAATTCTTATTTTTTCTGTACAAAAGACTGAAAGCTTGCCAAATGTCATACAAATACATAAATTGTATCGTATCGGACGATGTATAGATACAATCGTATCATGGCTTCACGATACGATACTCGTATCGTATCACCTTACATTTAAAAAGACACATAACAAACAACCTGTCGAAATATTTTAGTTTTTTAGCCCAAGAATTTACTCTCTCGTTCATAGAATATTCTGTTGTTGCTATTTTACTTCTTGAACTTGTTTGTTATTAACAAACCAATTTTCTGTTTAATAATCAGGCAGGCGCTAACACTGCCGATGTAGGGATGGCTGGGATTATTCATTGAAATGGGATTTTAAATATCGCCTCGATAGGTCATCAGAACTTCACAATACTATACAGCGTTTCCTTTTATAACAATATCTATATAATTCTGGGGATATCTGTAAATATTATAGCAAAAAGTTTGAATTTCTTGTACTTTCTTCTGCTTCTTTTTTATTACATGATACCTTAAAAACCAAAATAATGTTGTCTACCAATTTCATTGAGGTGACAGTTTCAAGTAGAATATCCACTTTTATACGTATTATTAATTACAAGTAGTAATTAAGTCATAATTCTAGTGTAAACGATGTTATCATTACCCCTTGAAATTAGCTTTCGTACAGATAGTTGGTGTTCCTTTAAAAAAACTTAAGTACAGAGTGAAACAGAAATTACCAGCGAATAATAGATAAACAACAAATATTACAGATGGAACCTCATTGTATTTACAACTTGGTTATAAATACAACCTTCCTAACACTATTAAAAAACAAGCAAAGAAAAACTTTTCAAAAAACGAAGTAAATGTAGGGATGGCTAATATCAATCCTTACTTTCTTTTCTTTACTTATATAACCAAAACATCAATAAGATTTTAAATGAGTTATTAATAAAATACACTTTCTTTATTATTGTTCTTTATTGTTTTGGTAGGTTTCATATAACCTAAATTACATAAAGCACAGTTCTTTCAGTCACAACTGAAGATACCTTCTTTAGAAACATCTTTTTTTTTTTTTTTAGATTTATTCAATAATCTATGCTAATTTTTAGGTTGCCTTCTTGATAAAATAATTTCAATTTTTTGTGAATACATCATAGTTATTCTTAGCAATTTCAAAATCTCTTAATATAAATTTTTCCAGATAGTGACATTGAACTAAATATTTATTTAGTTCTAATAATCTATTAGCTCTCGTTTCTTCATTGGAAACCAAATGATATAATCTACTTTCAAGATTTGCAGGAACATTTAATTTTGTATGTTTGGGATGATTACTAAAAAATCTACATACTAATGAGAGTTTCTAGGTTTATAAAAAATGTCAGTTACAGTTTCCTTTTCCGGTGAAATACTTACCAACACATAAAAAGGACGAGCCTTTATTATTCTTTCGTGAGTTATTAGTCCTAGCGAGTGTACCTCGTAGAAAAATTTTATTGTTATTATTATCATATTTATATATAATACCTAATTTTACCTTATCTAGCCTAAAAGTTTCTAAGTTTTACATTTTTAGTTACTTTTATAATAACAAATAAAGAGTAGATAAGAAAAACAAGAAAATAAAGTATTTACCCAATCTTCTTTTTTCTTGCCATTGATTGTCAAGGACAGTTAAGCCTGATTTTTTATAGTAATGATAGTTAGGTACTTAATAATTTTTATCTAATTAAATAATGCACCAAAAATATAGACTAATAACATGCAAAAAGTAGACAACTTCCCCTAACTCTCAAAATTCATACAAGGGAACTATTCTTGTACTGTGAGTGAAATTAACAATATTCTGTTCGGAACACAATGTTATACAGTACGTCATTTGATAGTTGAAAACCTTGACTTTCCATTGGTTATAGGTAATATATAATGAAATTTAAAAGAGAACTATCAACAAATTGTGAAAGAGAGGATGTAACAGGTGGGTGTGGCAGGAGGGGTCTGATTTTCTATTCGATAGCTTCGTAACCAAACAAAATTGAATACTATAAAAATTATGGTTTGTCTGAACACTAACGATTTTATAGAGTAATTTATGTTAAATTTCGTAGTTTTGAGAGGGGTGGAGATTAAATAGAGATGATGATATGCTAAGAGAAAATGTGTCACATAGGTCACACTAGTGGAAATTCAGGATATTCTTATAATATTGCCTTGAAGAATTAAGAACTTAAAACTTGTATACTACTAAAATATAGATTATTAGCTAAGATTGTTTGCTATTCTAATTGGTATAACATAAATAAAAAGTAGCTTAATAAAATTTTGAATGTAAGACACTAAAACCTTGTGTCATGCACAGTAAAGGACACATAGGGCAATAGGGTTAAAATAGTACAAAAACCAGGCATCTCCCTTAAATCATTAATAAGAAGTTCAGCATACTGGAAATAAACATGATGTATGAAAAATAACTGGAAAGCCACTAAATATGGACTAAATATGATCAATGTCATAAAATGAAGATTGTATATGAAGTCACTTGAGGCAGATGCTCTAGTACATATATAGGGAAAACTTGCCAACCTGTACATGATCAAATATCTGAACATATGTGTGATATCCAAAACCTCAGTACTAATAATGCTATCGTGGAACATTATGGAAAAAAAACATGGCATAGCAAAAGCTGATAACATCTTATCAGATGTCAACAACTTATGTAAATGCTATAGTTTTCTGGACTGAAAGATTAAAGAATTAATTTTAATCAAAAAAAAGAAACCTGAAATGAACAAATATAAAGCTTGGCCTTTAGTGTAGAGATGTTAATAACATTCTTAAGATTTTAGTATCTTGAACTATACACACTCATAAGGGTTAAAAGATATTTTCAGACAATATTTTGTGTATGTATTGATATAATACGATGAAATAATACTTAGAGATACAAATATGAAAATATATTTTATATACATAACATATCCTATTCTAAATACAATGATATTGTTAAGTCTCCGTTCGTTCATTAATTTTCCATAAAAATTCGTTCTGAAGAAATTTTACCGATAAAAGTCCTTTCATAAATAAAACTGGTTTATTCTTTCTGAATACAACTTTGCGATACACTTAATTTCAACAGTCGCTCTATAACAAACGCTATAATTCACGACGAATGTCTCATTTGCTCGGTTCAACAATACTCTGTCAGCATACATTCAATTAATCATTACATTACACCTTTCCCATCGTTTATTGGCTGGTCTTATATATACAAGACTACCCCAATCTAGTAGTCTCCCGAAAATTCACGAAGGTTCGAGAATGACGTGGCGTGATACTTATCACGTGACCTCGGCTGTCGCAAAACTGCCCCCTCCTTAGTATTATTCATCCCAAACAATAGCCACTTACATTAAACCAATAAACAATCAACAATAACTTAATTAAATGTACAGAATAACAAACACAAAATTACAATTCAACAAAGTCTCTTTAATTTTACGGGACGTATCTTCTTCCGTACTGGTCTCAGTTTCGTTGGCTCCTGCTTCATGTGGGGTTCATCTGCTTCATCAGGAAATGTCCTATCGTTGGTAAGAGTCACATCAGTGGTACTAACTTCGTCAAGAGCTTCACCGTTTCCTCTTCTCAAAACTGAATAGAGTTTCTTCTTCAACAGTGGCTTTTTCAGGTGACACGTCTTCAGCAGCGTCATTTGTTCCTTTGTTCACTTCGTCCGAACTAAAATGTCCTGGACTGTGATAACGCCAAAGTCTGTTGGCATGTGCCACTTTTGGCTTACCTCGCCGACCACATTTTATGCGAAAAGTCACATCTGAGAGATGATCCATTATGTCATATG